TGGGAAGAAGAAGAAAATCTTATTTTGGCTATAACTTTTGAACGGAGAGTCGGATTTTGACAAATGACCCCTCATTCGACGGGTATTTTCAAAAGGAATACAACTAAAACATTGCGAGGGGGCATTTATCCCCACCGGCCCCAACAGCTCCAAATTTCGAAATTTTCACTTTTTCACTTTCACCGCTCTCTCTCCCAAGCCAATTGATTTTCTTAAAGTCTTGGTATGCAATCCTGTTAGTTTTCGCAATACCTTTCGATAGGTGTATTATTCATTATGATCGGACCATCACAGTAGATTTTCATTTCTTCGTGTATATATAGTAGTCGCCTTCGCACACTCTCCTGGTGCGCTTCGTCACTACATGGACTGCCGTCCATAGTGATACATATATTCCGCAGAGCTTCTGATTACTTTTATCTAATTAGAAACTATTTTCTTATGAATGAGTGAGTTGTTTTGGTTGTTAAATTTTAATTGGCCATTTGAATTATTAATGGACATACACTTTTGTGAAAACGGTTTGCTTAATGCGAATAACCAATTAGTTATACTTAGCAAAGGATGAGTTGCCAGAGTTCAGCGGGATCTGAAAATATGGCCGGGTCCAGTTAAATAAACTGGTAATTTAATATTGATTTATGGAATTGGGGGTTTCTACCCACGCAGCGTCCGCTGATAAAACTGCGTTTCGGTTGGGAAATTACAGAGTCGCTTCGCCATCAGCCTTAACTCTTTATCCTCTGCAACTCTTACTGCTTTACCACCAGAACATCCGCGCTAACGAGGCATCAGCTCATGTTACCCTTCCTGATCCTGGCTCCTTCGTCCTTCGTCCTTGGCTGTCACACGCCCTGTCAGATGACTTGTCGACTCCGGCACAAAGAGCGCAATCAATTGCAACTATAAGTACTCGCAATTAGTGTTGCCGGGGGCTTATGCAATCAATGTAAGCGGGCCGGATTGAAAAAATATATATTTTTTCAGCGGCTTGTGCTCGACTGGCTTTATGAATCGCTAATGAATCGCTAATGAACCATAATGTAATTTTGGCAAATGGTCAGGCAAATTAAACGATACATCATTGTGGTATGAGATTTTATTTAATTTACCGAAGAAACATTTTAATTTATATTTAAAATATAAAATAAACAATACATCTTTCTGCAAATGGAAAGATCCAAGCTGTCTGTTTATTGAACAAAATTTAATAAAATATTAATAACCTAACAAGTAGCCATTAATCTCTGACATTGTTACTATTAATCAAAGAAAGGTTAAATTTGGGTTATCCTCTGGGAAATTGCTTCCTGTCAATTAAATTGCTTTGAACATATTCAACTTCATTTTTTCAAATATGATTCACCTTTTCCGAAAATCGACAAATAAGCTTTTTAAAAGTGCAAAACTGCAACTTTTCAGCCCTGATAAAACCTGATGTCCTGAACAATTTCTGAGTACGTATCATACCTTGTTTACCTTTGGCCGCCACTTGCTGTGTCGTTTCAGCTCCGAAATGAACTTTGTCGCAGCGGGACTCCAACTTCACCTCCAACGCCACCCCCTGAATTCCGTTCGCAGTGGATGTGGCCGTGACTGCCGTCAAACGTTGCGCCCTGGGGAAGCTCGTGGCCCCTGCCAGGGACCAAAATCCAGACACTGCCACTGACAGCCGCATCGAGAACGAGAACCCAACTGGCAGGTATCCTGCTGTCTATCTGGCTGTCAATATCGCACAGAAAGGATCGCCGGCACTATGAAGCCATCAAGCTGACTGGTTGTTTGGCAGTGCAAAATATTTTAAGGGAAATATAATTTAAACCTCCTTTGACGGGTGGGCAGGATGGGCAGGATGGTAAAGGAGTGTGTGCAGCCGAAAACTGGTTGTGGTCGGAGCAATCCAATTAGGCCAGTGCAGGATTTAAACCATTTAGCGTTAGTTCTTGTTACCAACAAACTGCTACACATTTTGCCAGGAGATATATTCAAAAATACCCACACGGTATAAAAATCGATAGAATGTAACGAGTGAGGGGAGGTATGAGGTATATGGTGGTGGGTGGGTGGTGAACGGTGGATGGGGTTCACCTTGGCTGAAAACGAGACCCAAAGGCGCAAAGTGTGGTTCTTGTTTTTGTTTCTATTTCTGGGTTTGCCCTTTTTTCTTCTTACTGCTGCTGGTGGTGGTTGGCAGAGTGGTTGCGGTGTCTGTTTTACGGCTCGCTTACATCCAAGCAGATGCCAGACTAACCCGTCATCGTCATCTAATTGCCAAAAGGCGGCATACAACATCATACCCCCGGCATTACTGCACTCGTGCTGGCATGACTGAATCCCTAATTGAAAATAAACATTAAGGTACGCAATTAAATATGCTGCAGTCTGGTCTTGTTGTTTGCCGGGCTCGTTATCCCGCTTTGAAGTTCATTCTATCCTCATTTTTATTGCCTCGAGCCTCGGCCATCATCAAGCTGATCCTGATCCTGGCAACTTGGAAACTTTCCGGTGTCGAATTTCAATTGTTTACACCACTTTACTCGCGGAGAATTAATTAATCGCTTAGGCGGCTCCATTTCGCAACATGACAAATGATGGCACATCTCTCGGGTCAAACAATTAGCTGTAAATTAAATTTGTATTAAGCTTAACTGCGGCGTAAATCGACGTTGGATAAAAACTCGCTGCAACTTACAGTTGGGCTTCTCTGAGGAGGTGCGGAATATATTCTTAAAACTTAACTTCCAAAACTTAAACTTTAAAATGTTCAATAAATTTATCGTAATTTATGTTCTTACATGAACGTTCCATAAATTAGGTTTTTTGCCCTAGAGAAACATTAATTACATCTTGAGTGTCACAGAGAGTCTCCAGGGACTTTGCTTGACTTTGAATAACAATTTTTCTTTTGAACATCGGAATGAAGCACATTTGTTATGAAAGTCTTTAAGTCTTTTATTAAGTACATTATTTTGAAATTTTTAACATCAAAAGCGATTATTTTCAAAGCATTTTGTAATTATTAAATCTTTAAAACTCAGTGATTTCAGTCAGTAATTTTTGTATTTCCATTATTATATACAAAATTCTTAAGTATTCACAGCACCTTAAATATAGCCTAATTAAAAATGTAAAAAATATTTTTTTTTTGTATTTTAGTCTTTTAATTTAATCTTTGGCTAACGAAATATTTTTGTACAATTATTTTAATTTTTTCTTTGTCCCAGCTAAAGAAGTGGGACTGTATTCAAATATATTTCTTTCATTTTTCGCTGCTGTTGTTTGGTTGCCCAAGCTGTGTGTTGTTCTATTGTGGGCGCCTGACGAGGCTCGTTTTCTTTTTCTTTGGGTTCTTTTTTTTGCCTTGCGTGCCTTGTAGACATTTTTCTCTGTTTTGGCCGCGTGGTGCGTACCAGGTAACCTTGTTTCCAACCACTTTTAGGTGGGCCACAGTACGTTGGCCCGCTGGTCGGTCGGTTGTGCCATATAATTTGGCCCCCGCACAAAGTGTTGTTATATTTAAGCCGCGGCGCAAACATCCGCAGCAGGCAAGCCACCACCCACAGCCCACGGAACGACCACGCCCACTCCTTCGGCAAACGACACGCACACGGGGCAAACGAGGCACACCTTGATTTACCTTTGAGAAGACGCCTGCCGCTGCTCCTTCGCCTCCTCATTTTCCGAGGTCCTTGGGCTCATATCGATCGGAGCATTAAAAGTTTCTCCCACTACTTTGTAAATAAACCGAGTAAAAGAAGCTGCAGAAAATAGTTTCAGCACACCAAAAATCTACACTCGTAATTGCTTTTACGTGGCTGGATTTTGAAGGTTTTTGACTGCTGATTGGGGACTTGGCAGGGCGAACTTTAAATGCAAAGCGAAACTTTGTATAAGCTATATAGAAAAAAACTAGAATAGTGGTGGGCGAGTCATGCCATTCACGAACTCAAGCCCGATAATCAATCAATAAAACTGCTCTAACCTTGACATGACTTTCAGTTCAGCTGCCCGTTCTCATTTGCGTTTGTTAAACGTAAATGGAAATGTAATCAACTAACCTCATCTCAATTCAGTGGGTCAGTTGACGGCGCTTTTCCCGTAAATTAAAAAGGCAAAACTTCTGCCCTAATCACCTAGAGCGAGGAAAGAAGCGGTGAATAAATTGCAAACTTTTTTATCCCACAACTTTTTGCATAAGAAATGTAACGCCAGTGACAGAGAAAAAGAGTTGAGACAGAAAAACACAAGAACAAAAGGTGAGAATGTAGCAGAAAAGTTTGCCATTGAATTTCTTATGCCATGTTCGGTGGTTCGGTCTCGGTTTTATGGTCTTAACATAATTTCGTGGCCTTTTGAGCCCAAGTTAAGACTTGATAAATTGCCGAAAGTGCTTGTCAAGTTATAAATGACAAAGAAATTGGCAAATTGTGTGACATTCGGGTCGAAAAATATCCAATCTCAGAAAAGCTGGTTCAAAACAGGGGTGTCAGAGATTGGTGACTGCATTGCAGGTCCTTCTTTTCTTCCTTCACACCAGATATTAATCAGTGTCCTTTTTTGCTAGCCCGTCTCATTGTCTGGCCCACTTGAAAAGAAATGTCTGTTTATTGTTCGGGCAATTGCTGAGAATTAACAAAGAAATTGCCCGATTGCCGACCAGGGAGTTTTGTTGTTTGTTGTACAATAATTACAAGTGCTTTCCAGAAAATAAAACAAAAATGTATGGCTGTAAAATAATTACATTTTCTGTGAGTGAGTGTGTACTTTTATGGCTGGGGCAAGCAAGAAAACTCAGCAAATAAATCCCCAAAAAAAACGGGGGCCTTACATAAGCCCCGAAATGTGTGCTACGAAAATGGCAAACGCAAACGGGACGCAATGACAGAATGGGAAAGCAAAAATAAAGCCAAACCGACAGGTGAGAGTGGCCGAAGGAAATTGATTTTCTTCGCACGGTGCGAATAGAATTTTATTCAAATGTGCTCAACTGGGCGAGAGTAATGGGCCTGGGAAAAGCAGCTGAGAGGAGAAGCGGTGAGGAAAAGCGGATGGCTGGCAGGATTGCCAGCCAATTGGCCGGATGCCCGGCGGAGGCGCAGGCGCATGCGCCTCGAGTCCTGCGCCCTGGAAAACGCAAGGTGGGGAGCTCGTCATTCCAGGCTGAATACCGACAAAAACGGCGAGCTCTGCTCTGCTTTTCTCTGCTCGGGGCTTTTCAGCCAAGCGAGCCAACCGTTCGCCAGACAGAAGTTACCTTTGCTCCTGCCCGGACGACTGAACGCACGCTGCTGCTGTTTCGCCGTAGTCTCGCCGTCCGTCGCCTGGAAAAAGAAAAATAGAAATAGAAAAGGAAAAACTCCCTGGAGCTCCAGAGCTCTAGAAAATCATTTTTGTTGCGGACTTTGGCCAGGGAATCTAATCTATATATCTTGTACAGCGAAAATCCAAGCGAAGCGGTCGAGCGGTTGCATCGGGTAGAGTGTCAGTGCTTTTTGTGTGTCGGTGTGAGCCTTTGGCGATCGATTGGCGCGCGCTCTCTTTTTACATAATCATAATACGCGCGCGGTGAATTTTGAGTGATTTATTGGATTGGATTGGACCAGGATCCAGGACTCAGATCCTCAAGAAGCGAACGTGGCGTCCAACGAGGCCAGCACCAGCGCCGCGGGCAGTGGCGCGGAGTCCGCCGCCCTGTTCTCGAAATTGCGTAGCTTCTCCATTGGCAGCGGGCCCAACTCGCCGCAGCGCGTCGTCTCCAATCTGCGCGGATTCCTCACCCATCGCCTGAGCAACATCACACCGAGCGACACAGGTTAGTTGCTTACTCAGTACTTACTAGGTAGCCAGGTAGTGGGTGAAGTACAAGATGCACCTCCGACAAGTGCTTGCATAACGTGGCGCCTCCGTGAAGGCATATAATTAAAATTAAACAACATCTAGCCCGCAAACACTAGAGCTCGGGGCCCCTGGCAAGTGGTTCGTCCTCGTCCTCAAAGGCCTCCTGCTCTCATCATCGTTGTCCTCTGGCACACACAAGTGTATTTATATATATACCTCGTATATATAGGGGTATGGTGTTTCGGTTCGTGTGCCCCGACACTTGCCACATTTCACAGGGTAGACACATTTTATTTATGGCCCCAAAAAAAAAAGGAAAACAGAAAAGCAAACCAAACTCGTAGGTTCGTAGCTTTCATTTCACTCAATGGGCCTCCTCGCACGAACGGGGAACGAAATGGAATGGAACAGTTACCGTTCGACCGCCTACCTACCGCCCGAGCTCAAAAGCTGAGCGCTTCTTATGTAATTCACTGGCCATCCAGGTGATTTTTGTTGGTGAAAATATTCTATACAAGGGTTTATTCTGCACTAGAGTTTTTCTAAACAATAACGTAAAACGCGTGATACAGGGGATTCCCAAAACAAATTCATTTTCAGAAATTCGAATCCTTAATATGAACATGATTTACTCTTTTGAAAAGTATTAAACCTTGAACAGAATTTATTTTTTAAGAACTATTAGCCTTTCGTTTACGGTAGGCTTTCGCTTGAGCTTAGATTTTTTTTTTTACAATTTTACAAGCTTTTTATTAAATACAAAACAAATTCATTTTCAGAGACTCGAATTCTTAATATGAACATGATTTCCTCTTTTGAAAAATATTAAACCTTGAACTGAATTTATTTCTTAAGAACTATTAGCCTTTCGTTTACAATAGGCTTTCGCTTGAGCTTAGAAATTTTTTTTTTTAATATTTTACAAGTTTTTTAATAAATACAGTGTTTAAGGATCAACTTCTTTATTAAGTTTACATTAACTTTAAGTTTAATAACTAAACATTCTTGTAACCCATAAATGTATTATAAGCTCTGTGAATTTGTGTACAAAATTATTTTTGGAATATTTGCTATTAAAATATTTTGAAAATTTTTTTACAATTTCTCGTGATTAGAAAACTTTTGGTTACCTTTTTTTGTATAAATAGCTCTTCGTCCCATTTGTTTGGGATAAAAAAGAGGAAAACTTAAATAACAAAAAATTCCTTGGTGGTTATTTTTTCTTCATATCGACTTTTTATTCCCACAAAATATTTTTTTAAGTCCAATTCATCAAGATTGACAGTGTTTTTAATTCAAAGGTATCTCCACTGACAATCAATGCCCAAATTCCACTGCTTTTAGCTGTTTTAGGACTTTTCTGCGGCCATCAATTGACAAACAATTAGCCAAGAACCCCAAACAAATGCCTTTATTAGATTGCGTTGACTAATCAAATTTGTGTCTGTTGTCCCATAAAATCATTACAAGCCTCCTCTTCGGTGGGATGGAATGTGGCGATGGAGATGGTCTAGTCGTGGTCTGGCTGGAGTTCATCAAGGCATACCAACTAGCAGGCCGACAAAGAAAACGCCACCATACCAAAACCCAAGCCACCTGCCAGAGGAAAGCAATTTTCTCTGGTGCTGCGGCTGCTGCATAATGAAGGCAATAAATATAAATTTCACACACAAACACAAACAAGAGGACGCCGTCGTCATTAGATTGTTTGCCTTGTAGACGCGTTTGTAACGCTGATGTGTTCATAGCGGTTTCATGTCAAAACAAAAGGGGGCGCACCACCACCACACCACCCTTGCGAAACCACCGTCGAACTACAGAACCACTCCCCCCATTATTTTTTTTAGACCCATCTAAGGCAGCCCGAGGGGATGGAAGTGGAAACGGGAATGGCAGAAACAAAGGCTGGCAGGAAGGTAGCTCGTAATAAGCTAAACGAGAAACAAGTAACGCATTTGTCTTGATGCTGTCTGATAAGAACGCACCCGGACATCTCGAGGGTTGCCAGCATTGAGCCATCAGAATTGAGGGGAAACTGGAGAAGGGAAAAAGGGAGCCATACCCAAGTAGCGACATCAAAAGTCGTAAACCGGTCGCTGATGGTGTTGTTGATTGCTCCGCATTTTCCAGGCTACAAATGGTTACATTTTAGGCCCAGGGTTCGATGCTGGAAATTAGCAATTTGCTAGGACAGACAGGCTATCGCAGCTATTAATCAAAACTACACAGGAAAAAAAATCAGAAATAATAATACTAAATTATAGATTCTCCAAAGTTAAATATCTTCACAAAAATGTTTATATCAAAGTTTTTTTTTATTGCACTTAAATGAATAGCAGTATTTTAACGACTTAATGTTTCAAAGTTTTCTTAACTCTATTAAAAACTTCAACGTAGTTCAACAATAAAAAACTTGGTCTTATAAAAAACTTGTTAAACTCCTGAAACTAACAAAAGTATTAAAATTCTAATCGGTTTAATGGCTCCCCTTTGAATAAAATGAACTCAAAAACTTGGTTACTACTTTTAAAAACTAAAATATGATTTCTTCTCTGTGTAAAAAAACCACATGAAACATGAACTGCTGAATGAGAGGCATAAAGGTAAATTACTTTCTCTCTAGAAAAAAGGCAAGTCCGAGTAGTAATTTATGTGCAAATCAATTTGTAATCCAACGCTCACAGTTGACCAAAAAGGGATGTTCGATGGAAACTGCACATGTGTGCGAAAACACGGACATTAGACACGCACACCCACACAAAGGGAGCAAGAGGAGACCATTTGGCACTCACTCCCCACATTTTCCGCCCCCCCTTCCCCAGGGCCACGCCCATTTAATGTTTTGATTTATAGGCAGCCCCGCGCACTAAAGGGGCTGCTCATACGCCCCGTGGTACCATCTCGGTTTCAGTGGCACTGCTAAAATGGCGCCTCATCGTGCTCCTTTATTTCCATTTCGTTCAACTGGCAACTGGAGTATGGATCCTCGGGCTAAGTGGCTGCCGGGTCCACTGGGAGTTGATAAAAGCACATCAGCTAAGCAACAACAATAAGAGCAATAAAAACAAGAGCCACCAGCTAAGAGGGTTGTTGGTTAAAAAGGAAAAACTTAAACCCTTGTTTAAAACATTGACATTTTCCTTCGGCCCCGAAAACTTTGGCAATTAAAAAGCTGTAGTTGAGAGGGCTAAGCTAAAACCCGGTAAAATCGATTCAGCCGAAGACAGCGGACAAGAACAAGACAATTAAACTTGAAACAGAAATGTCACTTGGCAGTCGGAAGAGGGTTAAGGTAACGCTGGCAACGGCGCCAAGTTAATCGATCAAGAGGTGGCCAAGGTGGGGCTCATTAGCTGGCCACGGTTCATTAGAGGCAATTGCTCGGGAATATGGTATAGTATTTGCCTCACTGAGCACATCGAATTACAGTCTCTGGGTTTATAAACTTCCGAATCGCACACTGTTGAACTGCTGACCCCGCACCCCAAACCAAAACGAAACTTCAACCCTTCGTGGCACTTGAACAAAGCAGCTTACACCACTTGCGGGGAGTTTTACAAGGCCCATGGTTTTTATTTCTCAGTGGGGTGGTATCTGAATCTATATTGTGGTACCGAAAACACTTGTGAGGATTTTCCGCTGCCTTTTGTCAAGTGCCTGCGTGCGAAATGCGGCTTACCATAAATATTATGATATATTTTATTTGCTGTTTATTTAAGACCGAGCCGAACCGAACCCCACCTCAAAGTGGGCTGAAAACGAAAGGAAAATATATTGTAGATTATTAATTTTAATGGTATTGCTACGTTGCCCGGGCAATGGCAAAGCGCCAAAGCTTACGTGTTTCTTCTGCTGTGTTGCCATCTCATTGCAAATGCAAACAGCCCCCCGTGATATTGTATTTTTTATGTCTTACCCTTCAGCTGAGAGGCAGAATGAAATTGTATTTTACGCTGATTACCTCGTCAGACAGACGCAGGCACACCCAGATGTCCACGCCCCCGCAGAGCTTGGCAGGCTATGGCTAAAAAAGCGAATGTAATTTCATTCCCCTTTCTCGGAAAGCAAACATCCATCCTTTGCTCTTGCTTTTGCTGAAAAACGACAGGAGCAGGCTGCGGATGTTCCCAGGGTTACGGCGGGTGGCAAAAGTCGGCGATCATCCTGCCATTCGGAACAGGGGCTTCGCCTTTAAGCCTCTCCACTCTCCACTTCAATTGCTGGCCCAGAATCCAGAAATGCGTTCTTTGTTGTCTGTGAAAGAAGATTACATTTTGTTTTCTGGCTAGTCCATGACTCGGCCAACCATCTTAAAGCCTCGTGAATATTTTAGGCCAGCAAAGGAAGCTAAGGCAGCACCTGGAAGCCCCACAGGTAGCGCATTATTAATGAGACACAAAGTAGAAACTACATTTTGCTTCCTCCGGCGGACCCAAGCAAAACACATGGGCTGTCATAATTTACTGCGGTGGAAGCTGCATAAAATATGAGCGCTTGGTCTGCTAATTGAGCCGGTCGGAAGTTGGCACTCGACCCCAAAAAAGATGAAAAGGAAACCCAGCAGGAGTAAGGAACAAAGGGACAGGCCAAACGAAACTGAAACTCAAAGCAAAAGCAAAAGCAACAGAAGCAGCAAAACCAAAACCGAATTTTGTCCAAATGTTTATGCATTGCCTGGGAAATCCGTCAGCTGTCCACGGAGCTTTGCCAGACAGGGCGGAAAAATCAATAAAATTATAAAAGCGTAAATACAAATTGCTAGCTCGTTTATGAGCATATATGCACAAAGCATAATTGGGTATGTCCTTCCCTTCCCTAGAGAATTTTAAATACGTAAAGTCAGTCAAGTAGAATCAATAAAACTTTTCTAAGAAATATGTTCAAATATTTATGTAAACGTTTTTGATCTCTTGTTTTTGGCAAGTTAATGTGCTTTGTTCAACTTGGCTAGGTTTTCTTCATAAGCTTAACTAATGACAATTGATGTCTATTTTACACTTTTCAATACCATGCGCGGATTTATGGGGGAATATCGGGAATAAGTCCCCCCGAGTGAACATTAAAGGGAAATTGGGTATTCAAAAAGTATGGAACAAACAACAAACAATACTATTTATCGTCACGTCATTCGAGATTTTTTCGATGTAGTACAGGATATAGGGGTTCGAAATTTAGGCATTTTGTATTCACATTACTCACATTACTTATTAAAATGTATACAATTTTTAAACATCTTACACTACACGGTATACCTTAAAGGTTCCTTTCCCATGCTTGGTTATAATATTTCCTTAAATATTCGTGAGATACATTGAATGGTCTGTCTGGTAAGGACCATGTTATAATCAACATGTAGGCACACGTTTCTGCACTTGACTTGAGCAGCTGCAGGCGGGCGACCCACGAGCAACCCCTGGTGCTGATAAAAGCCCACCAACCACCACCACCCCCAGGGTCAAGTGCGACCACCCACCTGACCCACCGGCCCTCGCCTCCTCCTGTTTTTTGTTGTTGTTAGGGGAAAGTACTCATGCATGGAGAAAACTCAAAAATTAAAGTCGCTGGATGGAAAAATAAAAGCAAAGCCCCCACTCAGTCGCAAAACATAATTGACTCATGGGCAGCCCGGGGGCTGTTACCATACAAACATACATATATATATATGTATAATACATACCTATGTGAAAGTGGGTGGGCGATCAGGACAGGGCCCAAGGTTGTCGGGGAGGTTTGGGGCAGATACACGGACGTGGTCATGAAAATTTAATGATAAAACGAAATGTTTTTGTTACGTCTCGTACACACCAAAGCCTCATAGGGGGCGGCTCTGAATTCGGTTGGATGGGGATGACGATGGTATAGTAGCAAAAACTGGGGCGGGGGTCATATTTATACCCAGCACACGTCGCATTTTCGTGTTTACCCAAAATGGGGGTGGCTGGTAGTCGTGCGCTACAAGGTAGATAAATGTTGAAATTAGATCAGCATTGATACGTCGCGCAGCAGTGATGTTAGGCAAAAGTAGATTTTTTTAACACCACCAAACTGTAATGTACTTCGAGGGACAGCATTTCTAAAAGTATAAATCTCGGAAATAAATTTATTTATAAATGAAATAATTTATAAATGGCAAAAAACATTTAGAATTTAAAAATGTTCCTCTTTATCTTTAAGATTTATGATATTAAGGGAATGATATTGCTGGGAAATATAACTTAGAGATTTATTTAAAATTACAATCATATTTTAAAGCGATATATAATAAAAAGATAAACGATGCATTGAACTTCAAATTTAAATACCTAATGTCTAAACTAGAACCCTTCAAAAAAAAATGTAATTCCATCTGAGTACAAGTCTTCATCCGTTTTCAAGTCCTTTTTGATTGCGTGCAAGTTGAGTGGGATTGAGCAGTAATTATAATTACTGCTTCGATGAGTGCAACCGCTTGGCTATAAGGACACTTTGCTTCGTTTCACTTGCCTTACAGGGGGGAGGTCCACAAAAGGCCCACAAATCCAATTAAAATAATTGCTACACCCTTATAATCACCCTGGTCCCACAAATATTCAATGACTTAATTGTAGAGTGTACACGTACTTTTGTCGGTATTTGTTTTATGATTGAAATGTGTGTCCCTCGAACAGGAAGACCTAAAAATGAAAGAGAGATATCCTTAAATCTATGTGTAATCGAAACAATGCGAATGCCACGAACTAATCCTAATACAATACCATTTCTGTTCACCAGCAGGCAGCCTTTTGCAACACAGAAACAACATTTCAATCATAAAATAAACCCAACTAACCAACTAATCCTAGTTAAGAGTGTGAGAGAAAGAAAGAGAGAGAGACAGAGTGAATGTGCAAGAAAGAAAAATAATAAAAAAACAAAAAAATTTAATCGCATTAACGCATCAAAAATAAAGAAAAGACTAACGAAATCTTGTTTCTGTGTCGTTAAAGGTTGTTCACTGGCATGCCAACAACTCGTACACCTCCAACAACAACTACAACAACAAGCACACCAAAACATGTAAAACCACACAGCAACAACATCAAAGGCAAAGGCAAAAGCAGCAAGCAACACTACAGTTAACCACAAGCAACGATAAACCACCTCAAAGCGAGCGAAGAAAGCGGAAACGGAAGCGGCCATATTTGTAGAGAGCGAGCCAAGAAGAAGAATGACAGGCCCACAACAGATCGGCGCATAGAAAAGCTTTAAAGCAACAGAGAAGAGTACAAAAGAGAAACACAAGAGAGAAAGATAGCAAACTAGAAGGAACTGGTCCAGAACTTTGTACACCTCAGCGATTATCAGCGATTAATCAACCAAAATGGCCTCATTCCAAATACCTGTTATCAACCTCGAGTTGCGCGAGGTCAAGGACATCGTGTGGGAGAAGATCCAGGAGCCGGTAAACCAGCGTCGCCTCATCCTCGTCATCGTATCGATAGCCCTGCTGCTGGACAACATGTTGTATATGGTGATAGTGCCCATTATACCCGACTATCTGAGGGAGATTGGCAGCTTTGACGACGGACCCACGCCGCCTCCTCTGAGGGATAATATCACGGGCAAGATCATACCGGTGCATCATGATCACCACGGCCAGGACTCCGCAACGGGTATCCTGTTTGCCTCGAAGGCCATTGTCCAGCTGATGGTGAATCCCTTTTCGGGCGGCCTCATCGACAAGATCGGCTACGATCTGCCCATGATGATCGGCCTGACCATCATGTTCTTCTCCACGGCCGTCTTCGCCTGCGGCAGCAGCTACAGCGTCCTGTTCTTCGCCCGATCCCTGCAGGGAGCAGGCTCCGCCTTTGCGGACACCGCCGGCCTGGCCATGATCGCCGATCGGTTTACGGAGGAGAACGAGCGATCGCAGGCTCTGGGCATTGCGCTGGCCTTCATCAGCTTTGGCTGCCTGGTGGCGCCACCTTTCGGCGGGGCCCTCTACCAGTTCGCCGGCAAGGAGGTGCCCTTCCTGATACTCGCACTCGTCTGCCTGCTGGACGGCCTGATGCTGCTGCTGGTGATGAAACCGGTCAAGGAGGCGCTGAAGCAGAGCAAGGAGGTTTCGGACCAGACGATACCCATCTGGCGACTGCTGATGGATCCCTACATTGCCGTCTGTGCCGGCGCACTGACCATGTCGAATGTGGCACTGGCCTTCCTGGAGCCGACCATCTCGCTGTGGATGGAGGACAACATGACCACGGATAACTGGAAGATCGGTATGGTGTGGCTGCCGGCCTTCTTTCCGCACGTCCTGGGCGTGGTCATAACGGTGAAGATGGCCAGGAAGTATCCGCAGCACCAGTGGCTAATGGCCGCCGGAGGATTGGCGCTGGAGGGCTTCTCCTGCTTCATCATACCCTTCTGCAGCGGCTACAAGATGCTCATGCTGCCCATCTGTGTGATCTGCTTTGGAATTGCCCTCATCGACACCGCTCTGCTGCCCACACTCGGCTATCTGGTGGATGTGCGCTACGTTTCGGTTTATGGCAGTATCTATGCCATTGCGGATATATCCTATTCGATTGCCTATGCCGTGGGACCCATTATCGCCGGCGGAGTGGTGGAGGCCATCGGTTTCACCGCCCTCAACTTCTTGATAGCCTTCTCGAATCTCGCCTATGTGCCGGTGCTGCGAAAGCTGCGCAATATCTACGACTTCAAGCCGTTCGAGAACGAGGCCAACATCCTGATGCAGGACCCGCCCAACAAGGAGTACCAGACCTATGTGATGCACGACCAGAAGCCAGTGGAGGGTGGGGTCAAGAACCACCTGGAGTACGGTCAGCAGTATCAGCAGGAGCAGGAGACCAATCTGGATGAGCAGCAGTACGAGTACCAGCAGCAGCAGCAGGGATACCAGCAGGGATATCAGCAGGATCAGGGCTACCAGCCGGGTTACCAGGAGCAGGGCGGCAGCTACGCCCCCCAGGGTCAGCCCCGCGTGGCCAATCCCTTCCAGCAGCAACAGCAGCAGCAGCAACAGCAACAGCAGGCCCAGAGCAGAGGTCCTGCCGGACCGGCGAATCCCTTTAGGCAAGGATTTTAAACTGTTGCCCAAGAGCAAAAAACACAAGCCCCTACTTTTCTTTTTGTTCTTTTTTGTACATCTTCGTGTGCAAACAAATCGCTCTTTTTGTTGAACCCCATTTAAACTCGACACTAGACACATATACATAATATTTAGCATAGACATATAGGCAAGTGGTACGTACACTATAACGAGCATAACATGCAGATAGTTAATACAGCAGCTAGTTAATGCACCGCACCAAGTTTTGTATCATACACGAATGTTGAAGCAACTAAGATCAGCGATGGGATAGGAGGGATTTGGGTTTAACTGGGTGGGTTATTTAAAACAACAGGATTAAATCAAATTCATTTTCAAATTCTTTAAAAAGTATTAACATTAATAGGCCTGATATCAAAACAAATCAGCAAGGAAAAAAGAAAAATATATCAAAACGCCTTCTAAATTTGTACACGGTCTAAAATCCAGTTAATCCCGAAACCTACCATCGCCTACAAAGTTCCCATCGCTGAAACATCGCATATATGCATCAGCATATAGCAGCTCTATAGAGCGGTCCGATCGGATCGCCTATGCCCTATACTCAGTACTCATGCAGCCGTTTTCGTGTCTATCAGTCAGTGAAGCTAGAGAAACCAAAGCCTAGTTATAGTTAGACGATAAGGGGAGGACATCCTCGGACTCCCGCCCTATCAAATATACACATACAAGTATGTATCTGATATTATATACACGCATATATATATATATATATATATATCTATATACAAGGTAGAATTAAGCGGCTCAGCTGGCCAGTGGACCACTTTCGCCCGAGTGCCGCCGTTAAACAGGCAGTGGCATCCATATCGCAGACATATCACAAGTTGCACAAATCGAAATCCCTCCCTCGAAACCCCCCGAACCAGAGGAACTCTTTCGGGTGTCATTGTGGCGGATTCGGGTCGAGAGTGGGTTCCCGGCCAGCCTGGCTATATGATTTTGCGTTAGAAACAAAAATCTTAGGTTCAACGTTTGTTAACATAAGACACAACCAAGGTAACGATACATATCAGAGTCTCGATGGCTCGCCTGTTAAAATTACCAAAAGTGATATTACTTATTGCTACTAGTCTATATACATATATCGTATCATATCGGTAACATACACACCTACTTTTAGGCCGTACATAAAGTGTACATACACATAGGCTATACAAGAAAAAACCAATGGAAACGGAAATCAATTTGAGATTCAAATTCAAGTTTCATATTTACCTACCAATCAATTATTATTTGCTTGTTGACTCTATGAGCACAGGGGCGGCTCCGATCAGGGGACTGCCGCCATAGTAGATCTTCGATAGCATAGCATAAATGTGTGTACCTTGTCTATAAGATAAAGATAAACCTAATTATGAAAAATATGAAAATATGGATTATCGATTAATGATATTTATGATTCATTTCGACTGCACCACTTTTTAGGGCAGTTTACTGCCCCTATATTATACACCTTTTAGCTGGAGCTTAGGATCCATCATATGAATAAGTAAATTTATCTTTTATATACCGTTCAGCATGCGTATATTGGATGTCAGAATTTTTATGTACAATTTTCGAATGCGTTTAGTCAGCAATTACAGTTAATTACGAGTATATCACAGACTTTCTATATCCGTGAACATATCAGTGAAACGGCCATTTCGAAACTGCTGTCAATGCGGACCCAGAATAAATACTTATGTACGAGTATCTTATGAATTACGAAAGCAATTGGTTATACGCTATATACGCTATACATTAACAGAAATGCACTGATTTGAATGAAGTTACAAATTATGTTTTAAAAACACTCGTTTTAATATATGGTTTTTTATTACATTTGTTTTACAGATAAATTAGATACCCTAGCAAAACAATAATGTTGTCTGTTTTTTTGGATTGCTTGCTTTACTATGTTCTTGATATTCTTAGGTTTTTAATTATTTACCTAGTTTTAACCATACATTTAAAATATACACATAGCTCTACAAATTTACAAAACTGTAGAAATACTCTTAACTATAATATGAATTAAACTCATGAAAAAATCTCCCATCAAAAGTATCAATTAAAACGAAGGACCGGTAGTGGTGAAGAATAAAGTGTTAAAGCAAACTACATATTTATATATGAGAAGCAAAGAAGAAGAAGAAAATCAGAACAATTAATATAGTCAATAACTTACATATATATCATTATGTAACATATTATGAATAGTTTGTTTATTTAAGTAGCTAACAATAGAATTTTAATTACAAATAACCAAACATAAATATATAAATATAATGAAACCCCGAAGAAGCAATATTTATTTAAGTTTCCTTTGAAACAATCATCTAAAAACCAAGAACGCCAGCCCTTGAGTCATGTTAAGTTTGGAAATACCATCAAAGTTCCCTTCTCGTTCTCTTAAACATTAACTTTACTTCGCTAAAATATATTTAGTCTTCGCATGACTTTCGAGGCTGGATGTAGATAGATGTCAAACAAGTAAAACCAACTTACAAATTTCAGGCATTCAAGATTTCAATAGATTTGAACAGTTTTAACCAAAGTTTGGTAGAGCGCAACATGTATATGAATCTTCCAATTTTGGTTTACAAATAACTATATAAATATATACAGCTAAGTAATAACCATCACAGAAAGTAGTCGAAGGACGGGGTCCCAGAAGGTCATTAGAAAGTAACCCGAAGGATGTGGTAGCAGTGCCGGCAATGTGTAATAACTTACTAAACAAATAAGAGCAAATGGAACGCATAAACTAAATGTGTTACGAGCATATAAATATAAATATAAAACCGTAAGAAATGATGTATGATAAAATATATAAATATACATTTATGAAATGAATTATAAAACACGATAGCAGTTAATTGAATGGTTATACTCTGCGTATTACAAGTGTTGAATGTTCAATAGCATTATATGAATTATGAATTATACGCAATAACTGTGCGCTATGGATAATTAATGAACAAATTAATTTTTAATATCGAATATTTACTAAATGATATAGGGATTTTACCTTGGCAACAAAAGCAGTAGCACAGAAAAATAATTTCATATTTTTTCATATGAGAAATGCCTCTCCGACAGTTTCTATGTGTTGTGCGTGTGAAGAACGTTTTAGAAAATTTAATTGTATACCCTAGACAAAATAAATGAAAATGAGTTTGTAAGTGAAGCCCACAAAGTTAATGCCACCACAGTTCAGTTTTGTATTGTATATAAGGCATATTGTTAGTTTCGAATGTCTTTTTTGGTAAGAGTCAGAGTCAAAGTCAAAGTCGGAGCGTTTCAAGTACATACTTATATAGTACAGAGCTAAATTATTACGCAAGTCTTTGCAATTTGTTTCGGCTAATGTTATAGACGTTTGTGTTACATATTTAACAATAATTATTACGATATACAGTGGAAATTATTATAACAGATAAGTAAGCAAATGCAAATGCAAAAGCAAAACCAGAAGCGAAACTAAAATTTTACCAACTATCCAAATCCCAGTTCTGTAACGTTGCTGTTCAATTTCCAAGTCTATCCATCTATATTCTAAACGTAATTATGTTTGTATCTGAATATCACACCGTTCTTCAGCTATCCCCAAAACGAAAAACGAAAAACTAAGCAAACTAAGTGCTATGCATATCAAAACGAAGCGAATCGATGTTCGATGACCTAACATAGCTAGAGCATATTTTCAAGGCAAGCCAACAAAATCTCCTCTATAATCAAATATAAACAATAGGGAAATCAAGCAGGAACTGCCTCAAACACACAGACCCTTGAAGTTTTCGTTCGATGTGTGGGAATTTTCCTCAAAATTCATGGCTCAAGTCAGCAAAATTAAGAGCTAAAACAAACACAACTTGCGCTGGCATTGACATTTGCTTCTGGTTTGATTTCAAGAATTTTCTGGAATTATTCAAGGGTAAAATACAAATAGAAAACTCGCACACAAATGGAAAACTCTATGAATCTATAAACGTATTTGAACTGCATCGAAAGAGAGAATTCAAAGTGGCAGTTGCCTGCTTCTGGCTATGGGAAATGTTATGAATAATGAATTGAACAAGCAGAAAATATAACCGAACGTACATTAAAGCATACAGATATTGGCATGAGCTATAGAGGAAAGATAATGCATTATTACAGAGCAACACACCCATACACCCCATACACAACACACACACCCCTCACACAACAGAAACAAACAACACACAACCAACATGTACTATTGAAATATAATTGTTAACCATGGAAAAAAACGAGTCTTTTAATGGAAACTGGCAGCTCATCCGATCTATTAACGATTAATGCAATTAATTAGCTAATGTGGGCGACAAAAGGACTTGCCAGTTGCCGATAAAAATCGAGCCACATTGTGTGTACACCTGGTTTCTGAGTTCGTTCCTCAAGTTGGCACGGAAAACGGAACGGAAACTTTGGCATCAAACTCCCAGTTCTGGGGGTTAGTATGGGCTACGTATACCTACATATTTGGATTTGGCAACTGGGGGGAAATTGTGTGCGTGCCCTGGGGCCAGAAATTTGTGTGGAAAATGATTTTATGTTTGCAATTTCCATTAGCAACTTTGGCCCGAGTCACGAACAGCCAACCGGAGACTGGGCAAAAAGTTTCCTTCGTCCTTTTTTCTTCTCTTTTTTGGGGATGATGCCCCAGGCAGCAACCACAACCGAAAGGTGGACCGATTCTCGGTCGTGTGTCTATCGGAGGAACATCTCATCCTGGGCTCCTTAGCCGCAAACCGCAAGCAAAGTCAGCAGAATCCAGAATCCCAATCTCCGCCACAATACGCAAGCAATTTACGCTTTCCGCTTGTTTCAATCCGAACAATTACTGGAATTTTCAATGCCTCAATGCGGCAGTTAATTTGAGTTTGGCGTACAAAAAGTATGCTAGGCATTTGCGGCGGAAAACGAAAATAAAGCCGGGCCAACAAAAGCGCAACGAAGTCGCAGTCGCCGTGAAACAACGGCGCTAAGACCGTAAAGGATTTACGGCTCAATTGCGATGTGCGTGCGACGGCGATGGGAGCCACATCCTCGTCCTCATCCACATCTACAGAAACATACACAGTCACAGTCACCCTTGAATGGAATAAAGCCCTTTACGAGCAGCCAAACCGAACAAAAGGAGGAAAACTCATTCACTCGGCCATTCATCGCTTGTTCCGACATCCGACAATGTTATGACCCCCGGCAGCTTCCGACACTGAAAAAATGCTATGATAGCATGAGGAGGTCATTAAACTTCTTTAAAGATACATTACATCTAAATTTAAGGACATTTTTGATGATTTATGTGCACCTATTCATATCTTTACAGATTTTTACATTTCACTTTGAAGATTAATTTAAATAGGGTTGTTGAGGTAACCAGCTTTATTTTCATGATATCTTATTTGGAATATTAATGGTATTATTCAAATATTAAGAGATAAAATAGCCAGTACTTTGCTTTTTTTTTCTTTTTAAATTAAATATCTATGTTTGTTAATGCCCGCTCTATAATAAATAAATGAATAAATGAATAAATGCCGTCAGCTAGTCCGCCAGCTGTAATTCAATCGTTTAATACAGAAGATCAAGTCGGTTCAGTGAAAAATAAGTAGTTAAAAAAAATAAGTTTAAAAAAGTTATCAATTTTAACAAACAAGATAGCCAAGACTTATGTTTAATTTGTATAAACGCTAAAAATCTTTATTCTATTTATTAAAATAAATGATATTATTCATTGCTTAAAAATTATTTAAATCTAGTTACATTTTTCTCCACAATAACTTTTCTAGGAGTGTTTTATCTTAAATAAAACACTGCGCGTTAACTTGCCTTTAATGCATTTTTCTCGGTGTACCGTCCACCACCAAATGCTGGTACCAGTCCGTAGCTGCGGTTTGGGGTTCCGTTCCCGGTCGCAGCTTGTTCGACGGGTGTTTTATGTAGTCGCAACGTGTCGCGCCCTCCCACTCCCGCCTCCTCCCATTTGGGGTGCGGATTTGTTTTGCCTTTTTAAATTCTTCTCCTTCATTTGCTCCGGTTGCCGGTTGCCGGCATCTGGTATTTGGACTGGTCCTAATGAGCTACGGTCTTGGGGTTGACTGTTGCTAAATTGGAATCATGCCGGCAGAAACATTATTTTTCATTGGGATTACATTTTTATCGCATTGTCTGACAGGCGGCAGCAGTTGGCTGTCGTTGCGTTGCGCCTTGGTCCTTGGTCCCTTGGAATGCCATGAATTCGAGCGTGATTTTTGCAGCTTAATAATGAGCCCTCGGTTTACTGACGCGTTTTATTGGCCAGCGTTTAAAGTAGGGGCGTGTTGGCAGTAAGCCCAAGATTCCAAGCCGTTAATGTGTGAAATGTCCTCGGCATAGTCTTCACACCATACCCAACCCCATTATCCCATATATATTCAGGCATTATAATCACGAGGCATCGATTCCTTTCCGCAAAGTTATGGCCTCGGCCCAAATCGAATCATAAGTTGGCAAAAAAAAAACATAAACTGACAGATACGAGCAAATTGAAGCAGACAGCAACAGGAAAGGAGAGCATTACTTTGGGGTAAGAACCCCCAAATCCGGAACCGGAACTGCGCTATGTCTGCCTTTGAAATCGTGCATGAATATCTGATTAGCCGTCTGTCGGCCTAATCAGAAATCCTGGCCATCAATCAATCAATCGGAAAAGTGTCTCTGCCAATGCATATAATTGAAGCTGACACAGGCGGATACATTTATAGCTTTTACTTACAAAAATATAATGGAAGATTTTCGAATTATTATATTAAATCAAGAAGTGAAGGAAACGGAAAAATATTATTTGCCCTATTTTGATGACTTTATAAACAAACACTATAAACTTTTGCGCCACTTATTTACACAATTATTTTTATTCCAAACTTTTGACACATCATTTTATTTAATAAAGGAAAAGTCCCGGAAGTTTATGACTTTTCCTCCCATCCTCCAAGTCAATTCATATTCATTTGAGTGGCTCATTTTGTATTTTCCTACGCCTGGACAGCGGAAAACTTTGTAATTGGAATTTATATTTATACATCAAAGAGCCAGCAACAAGGACAATAACTTTCCGTCAACTTTTTGTAAATTGATATTTGCTCTATTAAGCGAGCGAGTTACCCCAAAGACATTAGCCAGCCTCAAAGACACGGGCCACCCCAGAAAAGGGTGGCCCAAACCAGAGCTTTAATTACTTAATTTGAATTTCTCAACGACGCTTCCTAATACAATTTATTACAATTTGCTGATGGGTATGGTGGGTTATGGGTGATGGGTCGCTACGGACAGGTTACAGTTTGTGGTTGCTGGTTGTTCCAGCAGGGACAACAATAGAACGGACGTTCAAATTGCCGCCACGTGACTCCATTGTGTGATTACCTCCGCCAGCTAGTTACTCCGATGGGGGCATCTTTAGCGAGATAATGAAAAAAGGATAATAAATTGCATTAAATTTGACATCGTTGTGGGGGAGCCGCGTGCCACTACCCCTACTACCGCAAAAACAGGATATAAAGCCCGTTGTTGCCCTTTCTGCTCGTTTTCCTTTCATCCCGATTGCCATAGAACAATTTTATTAATAACATTATGATTGTCCTTCCTCAGACGGTGGATGGGGCCGATTTAGCTGGAAATCAAGCAGCTTTTCAAATGCGAGTGGTAGTGCTTCAAAGCATTCAAAGCTTTGACCCTGAAGTGCCTGCCATATCAACTAGCGTTCCCTTCAAGTGGCCAGCAATTTAGATAAGAGTCTTTTTACCTCTATAGAGGCTATTGTTTGTATTAAATAAGGGATACGCAATTTAATAACCGAATGCGAAAATAATACTATCTTATTGTCACTGTTATAAAAATGTTATATTTCATCTTAACTCCTTTATTTTTAAAATTGTGGTAGAAATTTATGACTTAAATTTATTAAATTATTTTTTTTAATTATATTTTACTTATCAAAACAAAACTACAAAAAAATTTAATTAATTGAATTAATTTTTCTTAGCTATACCTACTACTTTTTTCTGATACTTTTCGTTGTCCCTGCTGATAAATAAAGATTGTTGATTGTAAAGCTGTCTTCCAATAACAATAACATTTCAAAGGACCGGAGACCCTCTCCTGGCCATGTGAACTAATGCCGGAAATTCGAGCTACTCGGGCGCAATGGCAACCGGAAGTGCTTATACAGTTGAATTACAGCAATGACAGCTAAAGTTTTTATGTGTGTTGGTATCGCAGGGGCCAAAAGACGGACAGCCGAAAGGAAATGAGCCTGGCTTTAAGCCCAAGAGTTTTCAGTTTCCTCTGGCCAATTTTATTGCATTCCGCTGGCGGAAGCCTGGCCAAGACAATAAATGGCAAACTTGCACGAAATTTGTCCGAATCTTATGTGAATTGAAGTGGGGGGATGCGATAAATGGTTGTGGGTCAATGCGAGCCAACGAAATTTGAACTGCAGATAAGGGAAATCAAATAAAGAGTTGTCGGGACCCAAAAATATCCATCAAATAACACGGAATTCTCGGTGACGCATGGGCCATACATCTTGGTCTTTTGTGGGGCTGTCAGTCAATCGATAAGGCCATAATATTTTTCGGATACCCCGGCTCTTGAGGCTGCTGACAGTGATTAACTAGTTTGTGTGGCGGCAGTCTAAAGATTGCGGCAAATTACTCAACAATTTAATTCGGTGTACAACAAGTGGTTAATCAGCGATTGTCGCCTTGTTTTCTTTGTTCTTTCAGGATGGAAAGACTCGATTTTGTCGATTCCGAAGAAATGGCTCTCCACGGCCGAGTCCGTAGACGAATTCGGATTCCCTGACGTGAGTAGAAATTGATTAAACCATTTCCAATTTCCCCCCGTTCCCTTTTTTTCCAGCAAATATTTGCCCAAGGGCTGAGCTCGACTGTTACTTGAATAATTCGTAGACAAACAGACTCGCACAGGCATACAGACAGACTAATCCTGTTTGTTATAATTACAAATGCAAATAACGAGGGCTTTTGTATGGCAACAGGAGGTCCGAGCGCCGAGCTCCTGGCAACCAACCTGCCGCAGCTCGTGCAAACAAACCGGAAAAACCAACCTTTTCGAAAAACCCACTCCCAATTAAATCTTCTACCCCCCAAACTCACCTGAAAAAAAGCACAGCAGCCCAGGCTTCAACCCCCGAAAAGCAGAGTTAGACATCAAAATTGTAAGCTGGCGACTGAAAGGGGATCCACCGAAAAAGACAAGTGTCAGCAGACTGGGTATTTCGTATTGGGTTTAACAAAAGTTTCAGTTGCTTTGAAATCGGAGAACAGGCAAAAATCCGGAAGTCAACGACATGTTGACACTTTTAACGTTTCAACTCAGTATTTGTTAAGTGGAAAATTGTGTTTTCCTCGGCAGGTATAACAAAAACATAAGGTCGTTGGATATGTCCAAGTAGAAATATGCAGTCTGAAATTTTGCATCCATAATGACCATCCCGAAATCGATTGGATTGCAGACCTCGAAATCCAAGTGGGGAATTCCTAGGGCAAAACTCTCAATTAAAGTTTTCGTTTGAGGGTGGAAAAAATGTCAAGGAGCCGGCGTACAATGTCAGATTCAAGCTATGCCATTTCTTTTTCCCTTCCGCTTTTTTGTGATTTGAAATTCGGTTCCCCAGGGCATCAACTTTTTGTATTGCTGGCGGACGAGGTAACTTTCCATTTGACGCTCGATATTGCCATGCATACAAATGAGGAAAATGCGAGGAAAATAGGGAAAATGGGATAAGGCGGACAGTGCCAAGTGTCTAAGACGAGTGGAAGTGAAATAAAATTAAATTTGCTAACCCCATCGAGAACCCTTTTTTATTTTTCCTTTGCCCCCTACCCCTTTTGCAGACTCTACCCAAGGTGCCCGTTCCGGCGCTGGATGAAACGATGGCCGACTACATTCGCGCCCTGGAACCGATCACCACGCCGGCGCAGCTGGAGCGGACCAAGGATCTGATCCGGCAGTTCGCGGCTCCCCAGGGAATCGGTCCTCGGCTGCATCAGTATCTGCTCGATAAACGCGAGGCGGAGGACAACTGGGTGAGCATTGAACCGTAGAGCAATACAATTATAGTTCGTTTTAGCTTTAAATTAATAAATTATATTTTAGTGTTTAAGACTTCAAATAGACTCATTTAAAAAATTTCAGTACTTTAACTAAATTCCTGCTATGGGCTTAGGTTGCAGCAATGGGCACACAAGTGACGATCAAACTCAAATCGCTGCATGGAACGCTCGGAACGTAATCTTCGCAGGTCACGCACTGTTGAAGGGCATAAGTGAAGAAATAGTTAGGGGGGCAATTTGTTAGGACAGCGGCGGAAGAACTGCAACTGTAGTAGGTTGTCGGGTCTTCGTAGTTTGGCAACAAAATTCTAAAATCGTTAGAACAGCCAACGGGATATATCTTCTCCGTATACTCCAAATCCAAAACTTTCTGACAGGACTGGGACTGGGCATTAACGACCATCAAGGCGGCGAGTACAAAGATCACTTTTAAATTGAATATAATGGCTATATGTGTTAATGGACTTTTTCTTTGCGGGTGGTTGTTTTACTTACCTGTTTTCATGTTGCTGGGGATTCGTTTTTCGTTTTCCTACTAGCGAGACTTAAGAAGAATGGCGTGTGGCTGCTAACTCTTCACTCAGCTCTAAAGCCAAAGCCTTTTTATACCGCGAAAACTTTCGTTTAATCAGCCCGAATCTGGATTAGTGGTTTCTAGATTGTGAGATAGAAATCAGCAATGCCAATCAACAAACCCGAAATAAAGGTAATCTTGGCCAGATAAGGTCGGTTGGATACTGTTTCGAACTTCGAACTTCTCATTGCAAGTGCCAAGTCAATTAGCATTGCTGCTAGATCAGCAGATCGCAGAACCAACTACAAGATATTAATGACTTCAAGATATTCTCTCAATCTATAACTATGGCATTCAAATTTCAATCCTTGTTACTCCATTTATCCAAATTAATCTTTCTTTACACAGAGAAAATTATACAACGTTTTAGGTGCCGTTTTTATATAAAAAGTTTTAAAAATAAAAATGCAAAGTAAAATAAATTTGTATGAAAATTTTTACTTTTTAAAATTTTTCACCCCTCATTTTGCACCTAAAACTTTTGATAATTTTCTCTGTGTATCTTTTAGAGAACCACTGTTTTCACTATGAAATGCATCGATTGTCACTATAACTTCCGAGAATTACATGCCCTATCAGATGAGTTTTACGAAAATATAGAAAGTTTTGAATTCTATTAAACACTATTCTAGCATACTTTTAAATGTACAAGAGGTAGTTATGGGATCAATTTTAAAAAGTATATATTTTTGGGCTGTTTGAAAATGTTTCCAAAAAATTCTATTCCATCGTTAGTGTGCGTTCACACTTTATTCAGCCGAAAGTTTAGGGATTTTGAACGGGTTCGTCTCAGGTTTTTAAGCCACGATTGCGGAGGGCGCCGTTGGAGGACCATCGTTGATGGTCGGGGCAGTGGGCGGGGGAGTCACAGGAGTGGGGACATTGCTGTCGCCAGGGGAGGGGGGCTGGGGCACGGCCTGGGTGGTGCCCGTGGGGGTGATGATGTCGTCGTCGTCGGAAACGGTGGTGGTGGTTTGGGTGGCAGGAGAATCAGTGGGTGGCTGGGGCACCCCTGAGGTGGTGGTCGTGGACTCGCCAGGTGCCTCAGTGGTGGTGGTGGTGGGGGCAGCGGTGGGAGCAGCGGTGGTGGTCGTAGTGGGGGCAACGGTGGTGACGGCTGCGATGGCCACACAAGAGGGATTGAATTTTAAGCTTTCGCACTTTTCGCTTGGGAAGTAGGCAGAGCAGGTCATGCAAGTCTGCGTCGCCATGTTGAAATAGGTGTTGGCGTCGCAATTCGTCAGGGTGGCGTCCTTATTAGAGTTGCAATAGTAGTAGGTCGAGGCATTCTCATAGTTCGGCAGCTTCATATTTGTATCTGGACAGACGACGGGATCGATTTTCTGCTCGTACGTTATAACCCTTGAGCAATTCTGGGCATTGACGGCCACCAAGGCGGCGAGCACAAAGATCACTTTGGGATGGTAATAAAATTGATACGAAGGTGTAAGGGCTATATCCTGGTGGCCTTGAGGTTGGTGGTTCTATGCTTACCGGTTTTCATGTTGCTGGTGCTTGCTTGTTTGCTAGACTGAAGAGGATTGGATGCGTCTGGCTGCTAACTCGGCTCACCGATCACTGATGCATTCCAGCCAGCTCCAAAGCCTTTTTATGCCGCGGCAGGCCATGTTAGACACGTTTAATCAGCCCGCTGCTAGATTAATTCGTGTCTTGTCGGCCGGGTGCGAAATTGAAATCAGCAATGCCAACCAACCACGCTTAATTGCGCCTTAGACTCGTCGCCCAATACCCGAAGTTTCCCTTTCGGTTTCGGTAATCTCGACTAGATAAGGTGGTGGGCGGAAACTATTCCGAATAGTAGGAACTTCTCATTCCGAGTGTCATGTCAATTAGCATCGCGGCTAGATCATCTTGGGCGGCGGAGATCCCAGACCCACCTGGTAATGACTTCATGATATTTTCTAGCGAACTCGAGTTCTCAGCACTTTATCTCTGGCATGCAGATAGCATTCGTTGGTACTCCTCAACATCTTCGTTGTTGCTTTTGGGGAACCACTGTGTTCACCCTGAAATACTTGGATTGTCATGGTTATTCCCAGGAAAAGCGGATGTATTAGCAGTCGAGGTTTTGAAAAATAATGAAGGTTCTATTAAATACTATACTAAGCAGGTTAATTTTAAGTATATGAACTTCATTTATATACAATTTTTAAAAGTATCTCATTAGGCTTGGCACCATTTTATCTTACTTAATAAAATACTATTTTAATATTCACTTAGATAGTCTATTTCAATATATTATTTCTGCACTTTCTTAATTAGCTAATTTCCAAAAATGATACATACCCATAGTTTAATATTTTTTATTTCCAGTCCTTATAAATGTGGGAGACCTGGTTATTCATAGCTATTTATAAATTAAATTAAAAAAAAAAATTAATGAAATATAAATAGATCACAACAACATAGATAATACCATTATATGTTCTTAACGTCATCATAGCTGTCAATCTCTAAGTCTTGTGATTTAAAGTCAAACTACAAATCAAGATCGATATTGTCAAATTATTGTCCAATTGGCGGAGGAGTATCAGAATAGCTCATTTCGAACAGCCATTTCCTATCTGTGCTTCACTTTTTCTTTTAATTTTACATTATCGGATTCGGATGTCAATGGCGGCCTATCAAAATATTCCGTGAATAACAAGAAATCGCAATCAATTACCCATTTTCGACTCTCCGCCGCGATAAGGAAGTTCTGGAAACAACAACCGAACCCATTCGCATTCCCATTTCCATTCCCGCCGAAGAAGTATGAACGAAAGTCGTTGCCAGTTAGATATTTAATTACTTTAGGTTGCTATTTAGAGTAGTGAATGAAATTCCGCTTGCTGAACGATGGGCATTGAACTGGCGATCTTTGTCAGGGGATTTGAATTGGATTGCATTGCCTTGGATTTTAGGCGGTGGCTGGCTTCTTCTGGGCCTTGCTGGGTGGCGTTGGCTTCTTGGCGGCCTTGGCGGGAGTGGGAGCAGCTGGCTTGGAGGGCTTCTTGGCCATGGCAGCCTTGGAGGGCACTGGCACCGAGGGCTTCTTGGCGGGCACCGGGATCGAGGGCTTCTTCGACTTCTGGGGAACTGGCACAACGGGCTTGGAGATTTCGACGGTGGGTGGGGTTGGTGGCGCTGGTGCCGGAGTGGGTGGAATGGGATGGGCCTCAGCCTCCTCCTCGTGGTGCTCATGATGGTGCTCCTCGTGGTGTTCGTGGTGCTCGGGGGTCTCGGCCTCCGGCTGAGAGTGTCCCGAGATCACTGGTGGCGAGTCCTCGATGAGGTTCATGGCGATGGGAGCAGCGGTGGGCAGGACATCCATGGGTGGGGCCGGGATGTAGTGGGAGGGCGACACGCACTGCTGGAGGACAAAGGTGAAGACCTCGCCGGCGGGACAGTGGACGGTCAGCTGGCTGCCGTTGACGCTCTGGCACACATAGTACTCCGAGTTGCTGTGGTAGCTCGGCCAGCGGATGCTGATCTCGCTGCGGGCGCACTGCAGCTTGTAGTCCAGGCGGGCCTGGCTCAAAGCCAGCAGGCTCAAAAAGGTCAATGCGAATACTGAAAGGATCGAGGAAGAGGGTTAAATTTTAGGGGGAATTTTATAATGTTTTAGAGATCCTACCTTTCATTTCTGGGCTTCGTCCGTTTGGTTATCCGTGTTTGTTCTAGGGAACTGGAACTGTGGTACTGCTCTTTTCACGACCCAATTGCCATTATTTATACCACCTGACATCTTGCTATCGGCGATCAGTAATCAGCTATCAGCGATCTCGGCGTGATGCTTTGAGATAGGTGTTCAGGCCGCTCCCAAAAAAGTTTCCCAAAAATTCCCAGCTAATTGAATTTGTGTAAAACACGAAAGGGAAATAGAAATCACTAACATGCTTTTCATGTTGGCCCTAGCCCAGAAAATGTTCACGGTAATCTATTTCCTTATTTTATTATAATAGTTTTAAAAGTTATGGATTCTATAATATATATAAATATTTTAAACCAGTATATAAAAAGTTATAAATATTTTAAACTAAATATAATATATTTCCTAAAATCTGTATTAAAGTTTTAAAATTAAAAAATGTATTAAATATATCGGCATTTTAAACCCATTAAATTAGATATTTGCTAATAGTAAAATATTATATTATGTATAGTAAAATATTTCAAAATCTATATTAAAAACCTGGCTATTTAAGAAATTCAAAAACCTCTCAATTATTTTTCCTGGCAGGCCTATTACTACTGGCTCAACGAGATGTACATGAACGTTCGCATTCCCTTGCCGATCAACTCGAATCCGGGCATGGTGTTCCCGCCACGTCGCTTCAAGACGGTCCACGACGTGGCCCATTTCGCAGCTCGGCTGCTGGACGGGATCCTGAGCCACCGTGAGATGCTGGACAGCGGGGAGCTGCCGCTGGAGCGGGCCGCCTCCAGGGAGAAGAATCAGCCGCTGTGCATGGCCCAGTACTATCGGCTCCTGGGCTCCTGCCGTCGACCGGGTGTCGAGCAGGACTCGCAGTATTTGCCGTCGCGGGAGCGCCTGAACGACGAGGATCGCCATGTGGTGGTCATCTGCCGCAACCAGATGTACTGCGTCGTCCTGCAGGCCAGCGATCGCGGCAAGTTGTCCGAGAGCGAGATCGCCTCGCAGATCCTCTATGTCCTCAGCGATGCTCCCTGTCTGCCCGCCAAACCAGCGCCGGTGGGTCTGCTCACCGCGGAGCCGAGGAGCCGCTGGGCTCGCGATCGGGAAATGCTGCAGCTGGACGAGCGCAACCAACGCAACCTGGAGCTCATCGAGACTGCCCAGGTGGTGTTGTGCCTGGACGAGCCGCTGGCCGGGAACTTCAATGCCCGCGGCTTCACCGGCGCCACGCCCACGGTTCACAGGGCCGGGGATCGGGACGAGACGAACATGGCCCACGAGATGATCCACGGCGGAGGCAGCGAGTACAACTCCGGAAATCGCTGGTTTGACAAGACCATGCAGGTGATGGGTTATTATCAGGGACCGTAAATAATCATTATTTGAGATTTTTATTTTAAAAGGCCTACTGAGGTTTTTACATATTTTAATCAACAATTTAACTGGTTTTTATTCACTTTATAGACATAAACAAATAACAGTTAATTTGCTTTCCAGATTTGTTGAAATGCATATACTTTGTGGACAAGAGTAAAAAGAACGTTATTTTTGACGTTTAAAACAAAATATCACAGTAGTCTTTTTAAAATAAAAATCTCAAATAATGATTATTTACGGTCCCTGGTTATTATATTATATTATAATTAATTTATTAAATAAAACCTTTTCTTTCCCTTAGCTCATTATTTGCACCGATGGCACTTGGGGCCTGTGCTATGAGCACTCTTGTTCCGAGGGCATTGCTGTGGTGCAGCTGCTGGAGAAGATATACAAGAACATCGAGGATCACCCGGCCGAGGATAATGGTCTGCCGCAGCATCATCTGCCGCCACCGGAGCGCCTCGAGTGGCATGTGCCTCAGCCGGTGCAATTGCGCTTTGCCCAGGCGTCCCAGAGCGTGGACAAGTGCATTGATGACCTGGACTTCTACGTCTACCGCTACCAGAGTTACGGCAAGACCTTTATCAAATCGTGTCAGGTCAGTCCGGACGTCTACATTCAGCTGGCCCTGCAACTGGCTCACTACAAGCTCTACGGCCACCTGGTGGCCACCTACGAGAGTGCCGGCACACGACGATTCCTCCATGTGAGTCTATAAATTTGATTATTCCTGACTTCAAAGAAGGACAAACTTATAGTACTAACCAATCAATGACCAATCATAAGCTACATTCAAAATAAATAGCATAATAATTTTCTCAAATAGTAAAGTAATAAAAATTCTTTACACACAAAAAAAAACATGTCACCGTAAAAACGATATGGCCATGTTAATTTCAGGTCATGCGAAACCCTGATCGTTTTTACATGAAATACTCTTTTCGACCAAGTCAAATTTACCTGGCCTCATATCAAATTAAAATTGATCTTAAATAATGTAAAATCGATCTTATTTTCATATCGATTTTTTTGAGAGTATTTTTACACATTTTTTACCAAATATTAAGTTAATTTTAATATTCAATTATTTTTAAACTTTAAATTTAAATATTTTATTATCAAATAAATTTCATCAATACTTTTTTAGGTACAATACCTAATATGCACCATTACATATTTTTATTCCGACATCCATATCATTTTCTCTCTATAAAAATCCCTTCCAGGGTCGCGTGGACTGCATCAGGGCTGCCAGTACGGAGGCATTGGAGTGGTCCAAGGCCATGTGCCAGGGCGAGGGGGCCAACGTTCCGCTGGAGAGCGATCGCGAGGACGAGGAGGAGTCACGCAAGGTCAAGTTTAGCATTTACAGTGTGGGTATTCCGTCGCATACCCACCTTCCCGGGATGAGTAACTCATCTTCGTTCCCACCCACAGAAGGATCACTTGCGTGAGCTTTTCCGGTGTGCCGTCGCCCGCCAGACGGAGGTGATGGTGAAGAACATCCTGGGCAATGGCATCGACATTCCGCTGCTGGGACTGCGAGAGGCCAGCATAGAGGTCACTGGCGAGATGCACGAGCTCTTCAAGGACGAGTCCTACAACATCTCGCAGTGCTTCCTGCTCTCCACCAGTCAGGTAGTAATGGACCATCAGGTCCAAGGTCATAACAAGCACCACCAGCACCCTGCACTCTTTCACCTCTGCACCACCTAATCAATTCTTGCACCACAGCACCACCACTGAGCACCACTATCAAGCTGCACAAGTAGGTATCAGCTAGAATGAACTGCTACTGCTTAAAGATATAGGGATAAATGATATGATAAATAGACATAGGATTATAAGGAAATTCGTATTCTAGAAAGATAGATTTCTGGAACAATATTTCTATCAGGGACCGTAAATAATCATTATTTAAGATTTTTATTTTAAAAGGCCTACTGCGGTTTTTTCATATTTTAATCAACAATTTAACTGGTTTTTATGCACTTTATAGACATGAACAAATAACAGTTAATTTGCTTTTCAGATTTGTTGAAATGTATAGTTTTTAAACATAATATATCAGTAGTCTTTTTAAAATCAAAATCTCAAATAATGATTATTTACGGTCCCTTTGCTTTCGCTTTGCCTATAATCCGATGTCTAATGATAAGAATACTTAAGGATCGTTATAATGCCAACCTTAAACCCACTTAGGTGGCCTGCTCCACGGACAGCTTCATGGGTTACGGACCGGTGACGCCACGTGGATATGGTTGCTCCTACAATCCGCAGCCGGAGCAGATCGTCTTCTGCGTTTCGGCCTTCTACTCCTGCGAGGATACGAGTGCCTCGCGCTACGCCAAGTCGCTGCAGGACTCGCTGGACATAATGCGAGATCTACTACAGAATTAGAGCCCCAAATGGGATTCGAACAGAAACATATCAGTAAATGTACCTTAGCAGGTTAGCGAACGAAACTAAGTAAGTGTAACTAGCGACCGCCCGGGCGTTTCATTTGTGACCAAGCCACCACCAAGCGAGCCACCCAACGAGGGGGTGGTCATCCGAAGGACGAAGGAAGAATAACGAAATCGAAAACTAATGTCAATCACTATCATGTTGAGACAAAAAAAAAAAGAAAAACAAACTACACGCAACCCATTCGCTTTACATATCCGTTTACCTAAGCATACCCGTAGTTGAAAAGAATTAGAGCAACTCTAGTCAATTAAATGTTTTAGAGCCGTTTTATGCGCAAAACTGTTAGTGCTGTTATCTAAGTGTGTTACTTGTGCAATATATTATTAATTATGAGTGTTATGCTAATTCACATGCTAGCCAAATTAGCAGAGCTTACGAACTTGTTTACCCCTACTGTCCAGATTTGCTTCAAATTCAAATTGGATTTTGGAATTCCAATTGGACATTTGAATTCAGCCCACAAGTATGCAATACTTTTCGTTACGAGAGTTGTGTTCTAAATACGTTCTATAGGTGTTACAAAAGATACTAGCTAAAATAATTACTAAAAGTACTATGCTTGTTACTGCAATTTCGTTGTTGTTCGTTTCAGAATTTATTAAACAAAATCATATAGTGTCTGTTGAGATATTTCCACATATATCCGCGTTTTAGAGAGCAAATGGTATACCGTAACTAAAGGCTTTTTGGATGAATATATATATGTACAACCCATGAAAATATTAAATAAAAAAGAGTAGAGGAATATTTAGAGAATATAATGTACGCGTATAGACTTGAGACGTAACAATACATATCAATAAATTTATATACACCCCAGGAAGGCGAAGAAGAATAGCAGAGGAAGGACGATCGCGGGAGATTACAGCTATAGATATATAACCTATACATATGTGTTTGTCTGTTCAAGCCGTTAGTGAAAAATGTATGTTTCGATGGCGATTCGAAGCCATCAATATTCTACAAAAATATATACATAAATATTATACGTATGTTATTTACAAGAGAAATTATATGAGAAACGTTAAAGGACAATTAGATACATATATCAAACTAGTTGCTGTGTTCATTGTTGCTATATATGTATGATTATCTTCTGAACTGTTAACCGAACTATCGCTACAAACTATCCTACTATCTATCCTGTATTCGATCTGTGTATTATTACGTTACCCTAACTGTTTGTCGTTAAGTTTGACTTGTTTCCATAAGGCCAAGCGCCGCAATTGATGTATGCAAAAATAATCACGAACCAAATAAAATGAAATAAATGCATTACAAATCAAGAACATTATTCCTGACCTACAATTGATCTGCCCGTGAATGAAAATGCTCGTATATACTATATAGATTGGCTTTAGGCGGAGTTGGTCATACATACGCTTCAAGGTAACTTCCAAGAATAGATAAATCGTCTTCCGCTGAAAACAGTCACCCCAAAAACCAAATCGCGTTGCGCAGTTCTTAATATCCGAACGGCAGAGATGATAAGAGACCAATGATAAACCACTGTCAGATAGATAGTGTTTATGAAAATTAATTAAATATATAAATATTATTCCCATGGCCAGGCGGTTCTCAATAAAAGGCCCTGGACGACCGGGAACGGTCAACAGTCTTAAACGCTCCATCAACATGAAGTGTAAGTATAGAAAAAGGAGTAGCCGTCAATAAAATCCGTGGACTAATTGCCTACTCGTTGCAGACTTCAACCTGCTGCTCAGCCTCTGCCTGGTGCTCGCACTGTGCTCCTCGTGGGTCGCGGCCTTCTCCAGCCTTGCTCCCCCGGACCCAACCCCCCCGACTGGTTCTCCCGTCGACGATAGCAGTACTGGCTTCCCCGGACCACCGCCGGCTGAAACCACATTAGTCGCGCCAGAAGTTACCACCATCTATCCTATTTACGGATAAAGGTCTTCTTTAATTAATGAATTAAAAATTCAACTGCAATTATATTTAAATATGTGTAATCTTCACTTGCATTAAATAACTTGGGATACGGTACGACAGGCTTTTGATAACTTCATACGGGTTATATATTGTCCAACATAAAACTAGGCGTGGCCATTAAAATAATCGACATACACATTAATTAGACACTAAACAAGAATGCACACCGTTTCACGTATGCATCATAAGTAGAGGTGAGCCAAACAAGCGGCGGTTTAGATAAGTAAGCACCAGGTGGCGATTAGCTGCTGGTCGCCACATTCCGCCGGAAAGAGCCTCGCACCTGCATCTGCAACTGCTCGCTGCTGCACTCGTCTCGGCCGTACTGCACATAGAAATTAAAATAAATTATCTACATTTGGAAGGGATCCAATCGCAGTTCAATATACCTTGCAAAAATTGTGCTCCAACAGTTCCACTGCCGTCAAACGCCTTTTGGGATCGTGCTGCAGACAATGGTCGATAAAGTCATGTCCCTCCTGAGAGAGACTTTCCGGTGCCTGCGGCTTCTCGCCCATGCCCACTTTGAACATGATCTGGAAATTGGAATCAAACTGGGCCCAAGGACGCTGAAAGAAAGTAAGAAAATAAATTAGCACCATGGGAAATAAAGGGAAATTTTTTATAGATATCTCATTAGCCTAATTTGTATCAGATTTTAGAATATAAAAACAACATACTTTTTTTTAAATAAATTGGAATTATATGGGTATAATTTAGTTTCCCAGTTTATTATCATATGAATTGTTTAATTCAATTCTATGTGAAATAAATTGAATGTTTTTCTAATTCATTTCGAATTGAATGAATGAAGGAATAATTTTTATGAATTTGCCAGATTTCTTTTGTGTTTTCTTTTAAGAACAAGAAGTGGCAAATTTTTCACAAATCAATGTTAAGTGCATAGTAAATAAAATTCAGGCAGATTTAATCACAATCTTCTTCAAAAGAAATTGTCGTATGAATTATTTCCAATTTCATGCCATTCATTCATTCAATTCTTTTAAACTCAAAATTCAAATTCAATCAATTCTATTAAACTCAAAATTCAAATAAATTCATTCATATAGAACAAAAAATTCCAAATAATTCATTGAATCCATTCATGCAGGGCTCTAATATGGATAAATGGGTAAATTATTATGTGATTTACCGCTTAAAAAGCATGGCTAGAACAAAGCCTAAATAATCCAACATTGTGAAATGGACAGTACACCCTGCCCCGCCCTCATGCTTATCTATAACGCAAAGCACTCACCTTGCCCGAGGCCATCTCGACAACCACACAGCCCACCGACCAGATATCGGCGGCCCTGCCATGGCCATCGCTGTTGGTCTTCGTGAAGACCTCCGGTGCCATGTAGGCCTGCGTGCCCACGTAGCCCTGCAGCTCGCCGGGCACGGTGGTGTGCGCCTGGATCTTGACCGCCGACCCGAAGTCGCCCAGTTTCAGGCTGTTGCTGCCGTCGACGAGGAAGATGTTGGCAGTCTTGATGTCGCGGTGCACGATGCCGTGCTTGTGGAGCTCCGACACGCCGGCCAAAAGCTGGGCGGTGAAGCGGCGGGCCAGCGCCTCCGGCAGATTACCAGTCAGCTCCACCAGCGACTCGAGAGTGCCCTCCGAGCACAGCTCCATAAAGATGAGCAGCTCCTCGCGGTGCACCTCGATGCCGTAGTAGCGCACCAGGTTGTTGTGCTTGATTCCCTCCAGGATCTTCAGCTCCTCGGCCACGTTCTTCAGCGCCCGCGTCTCGCCCGGCTGGATGGCGATCTCCTTCATGGCCATCAGCTCGCCCGTGTTATTGTTCACCGCCGTGTACACCTTTCCGAAGCGTCCTTGGCCGATCTTGATGCCGCGATGCCAGCGGAAGTGCACGCTACGTGCCCTGATGTGCACTTTGTCGCTAGAATTCAGGGACTTAACCTGGCCAATTAGCCGGCGCTCGCGCAGTCCGTCCTCCAGATCCATGTCCAAGCGATTCACTGCATCCCTAACTCGTTCCTGCCGCAGCGCCAGCGGTGTACCCTCTATGCTGCCCTTGCCCGAAGAGGCAGGCGTGGGCGGTGTCTGGGGCACCAGCAGACGCAGCTCTCCGTTGGGACTCCTTTGGCACGGAGTGTCCACATAGTCGGCACTGTCCACGGAACTATAAGTGTTTCCAGACTGCTGCAACAGGTCCTCTTTCAAACTGAACTGCGGATGCAGCAGTTTGTTATACGGCGGCGACTGCAGCGGCGGCGTATTCGGATTGAGCACCATGCCGGCGGACATGGGAGTCCGTGTGGGTGTCCTTGAGCGCGAGGTGGCCGGCGACGAGGTCTTGCGCGTGCGCGGCGAAGCCTTCTTTTTGGCCACCTTTTCCGGCTCCGAGGTGATGCCAATCACGTGCGAAATGCAGCGATCCATCTGCTGCTTTAGCGCCTCGAACTCGTCGTCGTCCAAGTGCTGGGTGATTTGCGGATCACAGGCAAGAATCAGAAACTCCAGACCCTGCGAGGCCCAGCGGGGCCGCATTCCTCGCCCGCGCTCGCAACGCTCCATCACGAAATGCATCCACATCTTAGCGTAGGCGATGATGCCCAATGCCAGGTCCACCGTATGGGCACCGCTGTCCTTTTGGTCCATTATCCGCTGCTCGAACAGCCTGATTACGTCTTTGTGGTACTCGAACCCAAACTTGTAGCCCTGATGCAGAATTTCGCGGGTGCGCGAGAGCACAGCCTGTTTGTCCTGCTCGTCCAAGTCCCGCATGTTGCTCAGGCAGCAACGTTTCTGCACGCCCTCGATGATCGCCGTCAACTTGTTGCGCACCTGCAAAACGTCCTGCTGCAGCAGCTTGAACGCCGCCTTCACGTCCGAGCAAATGAAGTCGTGCTGCTGATTGGCCACGTCATGCTCGTAATGCTCGCGATGGAAGTCCGTCGTCTCGACGTCGCGACAGAAGGTCTTGGCGAAGAAGAGCACCTTGATGGAGCGCTCCCGCTCGACGGTTAGCAGCGATTGCGTTTCCCGGCAGATGGTCAACAGCTGCCACTTGACCTCCTCGTTGTCGTCGCTCTCGGCAGTGCCCTCGATCTGCTGGTCCAGCTCCACGGTGCGTTTAACTAGGCGTTCCGAAATATTCCTCAACAGTTTGCTAATGATGCCGCAGAACTTTTGCGATGCCAAAGTGTGCATGCCCTTGATCATGGGACTGATGAGCTTGGTGAACATCCACTCCTTCTCCAGCACGGACTTCTGATTTCCCTCGGGAACGGCCACCAGCACCAGTTGATCGATGTACTCCAGGTACAGCTCAAAAGTCTTTCGCACCGTGGCATCGTAGTGGTTGAGAATGCTCATATAGCTGCCCATTTCCGTCTCGTTCTCCACCAGCGCCGTGGTAATGTGCCGCTGGTACCGCTCCCGATGGGTCAGGGCCAGGGTCAGGCCCTCCCTGAGTTCCTTCATCAGCTGCTCGAGGCTCAGGGGATTGGGTCGCACTGGTCGCGTTTCGAGACGCATGCGCAGGAACTCGTGCATAAACTGCAGCGGCATTCCGCTCAGAAACACAAAGGTGGGAATGTACGAGGGCAGATTAATCGATTGCGCCTCCTCGCTCCAATAGCCGTAGGTGCGCAGCTCCACGACCTGCTCGCGGCTGATTTGCGGATCCAGCCTGGGCACATCCTCCTCAACGGCCTCGGAGTCCAGCTCGTAATCGAAATCCCCTGCTCCGGGTTTCTCCAGCGAAATGTGCGCCTTGTACAGCGCCACGTTGTGCAGCTTGTGGAGAAAGGCCAGAGACTTGGCCAGTCCGCGACTTTTGAGCACGTTCTCGATGAATTTGCGATACAGACGCGTGGACTGCTCGCCTATTCCAATGTTGCTGCAGTTGCCCAAAGGCTCAACACTAAAGATATTAATGTCGTGCATGGATCCCTTGCGCATGTGACCGTGTGAGCACTCGCTGGACAGCTGGCTGATCTCCGTCGAGGTGGATCTGAAAGGGTATTTAGGTTACTCTTATTTTTTACAATTCCAGACCTCATCCACTCACTCATTACTGCTCGATGTCTCGCCTGGCACGTGGGTGGCATCGTTTAGCATGAACTGCACCTTGGGGCAAGGTGTGACACTTCCGTTGCGACAATTCTTGCGGGAAATCGATCCCGCCACACTGGGCGGCTTGGATGAATCCATCGAGTTAACCGCCGAGTCATCGTTCTCCACACCCGAGGCAGACGAACTGCCGCTGTCGGAGGCGATGTAGGATGATGTGCAGACGGGCCAGGAGAACTTCTCGTCCTGCAGCCGGGCAAGAATTTTTCCCAGAATACTGAGCTTCAGCTTGTTCTGCTTGGTAATGTTGTACCACAGGCACATGGACTTTATGCGACCCACAAAGCTCTGTGACTTGTAAATGGGATGAAGGGCGCCCATGGCCTGCGAAGAGGGGTACAGCGCTTCGGCGGCTTCCAGTCGCGTCAGCATGCCCTCCACTTCCCGCAGAGCCAGCTCCTGATGATCCATGCAATCCTTGCAGTACAAAGACATGCAGCCTTGGCACATTTTGCTGGGCAGCGGAGCTAAAAAAAGATTTTTTAGATTAATATATATTTGTAATATAGGAAGTGGAAAACTTACAACTAGCATTTGAGTTGCTGTCGGAATGAATGCCGCTGTCCAGGCTGATCAGACTCGGTTCGCGGCGGTAGCGCGGCTGGAACTTGTAGTTTATAATGTGGGTAAGCAGTTCGGAGACACCCTGTCGCGCCTCGAACAGGTACTTGTCCTGCTGCTCAACCGTTCTATCGGCCTGCCAGGCCTGCAGCTCCAGCCAGATGAGATCCTTCAGCTCCGTCTGCCAGGTGTGCTCCTCCTGCGACAGCTTGGCATCCTGCCGATCCACGCTGCCCAGCTTAATCAGGTTGGCAAACGTCTCGTGGAAGTCCTTCCGTTTCCCCAATCCAGCGGTGGCCCTGCCATCGCTCCTCAGCATCCCCGCAGGAAGTTGGGCGGCAAAGGCCAAAGGCGGCG